CTTCCTCAGGAATACCTGCCAAGATTCTCAGAGTCCATCCCAAGAATGCAAACAAAACCTAACAAGTAGAATGGGGGAAGAGGAGAAGAGCGATGTTGATCACGTGGCCCCCAGGTGCCTCGAGGCACACCCTGTCATTCTCCTAACAACCCCACAGGTAGGCTTTGCTTCCTTGATTATATACAGGAGGAAGCTAAGGCCCAGAGAGGTCTAGTGGTTTGCTCAAGGACACACAGGAGAAAAGGGCAGAGCAAGCTCCAAATAGGCCAGCCACATGCTTCTTTCCCTGCACAAACCACGCAGGATTCCACAGTGCCTGCCCACTCTGCTGGCCCACCAGACAGGTCCCTTGGTCCCTCCACGGTCTCTGTGGAGTGGAAGTCCCCACCTTCTTCTCTGGGCATTTTCTGACTCCCATGGAAATCAGCCAGTTTGAGAGAAAACGGGGACTATTCTGTATATGACTCATCTATGAAGTGTTAGTGAGATTTTTTAATTCAAAAGCTTCTCCCCTAGCTTCCAGGCACCAGACAGGAGCCACGAATAGTGTTCAGTGTGGACGGGTGGCACACCTGCCCCATCTGTCAACCTGTCCCCGCTTCTCTCTCATCTCTGCCTACAGGACCAGGCATTTCACCAAAAACTAGAGCCGGAGACTCAAAATCACCCCCACCACATCCAACCAGCATCAGTGAACCCCTGGAAATACAGACATGCCCCGTCTCCATTTCCTCCCTCCCAACTACCCCAGGTCGGAATCCTGGGGGCCAGCAGCCAAGCAAATCGCACTGAGTTCAAGGGGAGAGGTCAGCGCTGAATCTTTGACAGTGGAATTTGCTTGCCAAGATACATATGGGGCTCGTCCACACGCGCCGTGGGTGTCTGGTCTCACTCCTCCTCCTGTGGTCTCACCAGCCTCATTAACACAAGGCTCCAATGGTGGCTTTGGGCTTTGGGTGGGAAGGAGTGCAGTAATTACCACAGTGCTCCTCTTCCTTTTCTCTTCTCTCACTGTTTTTTCTTCTGAACAATGGAAATATTGAAATTGAGAGTTTCTGTCTTTGCTCTCGCTCTTAGAGAAAGGAAACTCCATGCACGGCTCACCTCTACACACAGAGCCTTTATTATTATTATTGCTATGATTATATTATAATTTTTCTATCCCTTTCTCCCCTTCATCCAGGTTTCCTTGTATCTACTTTGTCTTGCCACAGTACCTGAATCTTTGTGGCCAACCTCTCATTACTTTTGGAACAAGGTGAGCTCTGAGCCCCTAAAGGCGGAGCTTGGTGTGAACGCAGGCCTAGGAGGGAAAGAAGTCCATGAAAGGAGAGAGGTGCGAAAGGAGCGCCTGGGCTTGCAGAGAAGGTCAGGGTGCACAAAGCCTCAGAGAGGTAAGGGGTTTTGAGGTCAGCGAAGGGCCACATGGACAGCTGAAAGGCCAGTGTGACTTCTCCAACCCCTCTGGCAGCCCACAGTTCAGTTCGGAGCTTCTCCTTCCCTCAGACGTTTTTAGAACGAAGCTGTTGGCAGGGACAGATCCCACATTTGCCGCACTCCCTCCACTTTTTTTTTTTTTAAAGATTTTATTTATTTATTTGACAGACAGAGATCACAAGTAGGCAGAGAGGCAGGCAGGGAGAGAGGGAAGCAGTCTTCCTGCTGAGCAGAGAGCCCAATGTGGGGCTCGATCCCAGGACCCTGGGATCATGACCTGAGCCGAAGGCAGAGGCTTTAACCCACTGAGCCACCCAGGTGCCCCATCCACCTTTATCTATACCTGCCTGCCCCTGGGCTTCCTGCAAGAACTTCTGCCTGCTCTCAGTGGGCTTCCTGAACTTCCAGACTCTACCCCCCAGGAGATGAGCAGAGCAAGGGGCCCGGATCTAGATATTTTGCATCTCTTCTCAATTCCCTTCATCTTGGAAAGTGAGGGCTGTGCATTCCTTCCACGGTGCTGATCATAATTCCTTGAATAGCTCAAGTGTCTCCTTGTTTTGTTCCTTAACACTTGCCGATGGCCTCCAGACAGTCATGTCTCCAAACTGACTGTAAACACTATTATTTCTTTTTTTTTTTTTAAAGATTTTATTTATTTATTTGAGAGAGAGACAGTGAGAGAGAGCATGAGCAAGGAGAAGGTCAGAGAGAGAAGCAGACTCCCTGAGGAGCCGGGAGCCCGATGTGGGACTCGATCCCGGGACTCCAGGATCATGACCTGAGCCGAAGGCAGTCGTCCAACCAACTGAGCCACCCAGGCGTCCCAAACACCATTATTTCTGATGGCCCAGCCTGCTACTTGAAATTATCCCAATTAATGCCAGGTGGGCACAGAGCTTGCAGTCCAGCTGAGCCCAAGTCCACTCAGACCCCCGCTGCTGCCCTGAGGCCGTGGCACGGCTTGGCGGGGCTTGTGGCCAGAGCCCAAGTCCTCGGTGCTGGACAGGCCTTCACATGGGGACTGGGTGTCCGGTCCTGGAAGGAGGCATCATGAATCCCACTGTCTTCATTTGTTCTCTTCTCAGAGCACCCAGGACACAGAGGGCCAAGTATGAGGGGTCCCTGGGCTTTCCATATGGCACCCACCCTTTCCTCTGAACTGGGAAAGAAGCCAAGGAACTGAGGGAAGACCTGAGGTTCCTAGAGTCTGTTTCTCTTTCTGCTCCTAGAGCCTGAGAGCAGGAGCCTGGCCCCACCAGGAGAGAAGTCCCCACCGTGGATATCCTCAGGGGACAGCATGCACACAAAAGGCTTCTGGCCCCCACTTTAGTCGGATGCTCTCTCTCTCATTCTCTCTCCTCTTGTGTTTTGTTTTTAAGACAAAGACATGTATTATTATCTGATGCCTTTTCAAAGCACAGGAAACATCGAAACCCCACTCAGTAACTAAGATATATGTTGACCATATATTCTCATTTTCAGGGAGGAAAATAGGAAGAGGAGAGCAGGTGAAGGGGTGGACAACAAGAAGTCATATGAAGGGGGGTGGGGTGGAAAGGGAGGGAGAAAAATTCACCAGGAAGAAAAATCAATGGGAGAAGCCAGGGGAAGGAAAGAGAGGGAAATGAATGAATGCTGAAATGTCCTCATTCTAAAAGCAAGACACTAACAGCCAAGGGAGAGAAGGGGACCCCTCACCCAAAGTCCCACACTAGTCAGGGCTAGAGGGAGGGCTCCCCAGTAGGCATCCCCAGAATCTGCTCAGTATCAGTCTCACTTCCTCAAGGACTGGGGTTTGAGCTCCTCAAGGCCCAGGTCTGGTATTTCTTTGGCTCCCGCCCAGGAAACAGATATAGTCTGATGCCTTAATGAGAAACACCCACTGGTGCCTTTGGCTGGGCCCACTCCCTAGTTCTGTGTCCTTCATTAGAAGGCTGGCACAGGAGGAAAGAGCTGAGGTGGAGCAGGAACCCTCCCTCCCACACCCGCCCGTTCTAGTCTGCCTCCGACTGACAGTGTGACCTGGAGAAAGCACCTTCCCCACCCTGGACCACTGAACACTTTCTGTAAACTGTGACCAGGGGCTGCACAATGGAGCCAGGCTGGCTCTGCTGTGTCTGCCCGGCAGTCCTCCCCTCCCCACTGCCTCAGCCTGCAGCACCACAAGTGCCCCCTATGTGCTCAATGATAACTGCCCTGGCCACTAAGAAAAATGCTGGATTATGAGGCAGGGCTGGGTAAAGCCAGGAGTCTGTGGTTTCTGAAAGACAGCAAAGGAAAAATATCCAGCTGAACGAAGGGAGATTTCGGCTTCCACGGGATGGTTGTATTTTAGACTTCTGGGAGCAGGAGTGATCATATTTAGAAATGGGACATTTCTGCAAAAAGGGTCTAAAGCAAACTGCTTGCTCTACTCTTACAATCACTAGAGTCACCTGCATCCCAGTGCAGTGCTATGGGCTTACCGGCAAACAAAATGTGTAAGTCATTCACCACCACTGATCATCCCTCCTGCCCTTTGCAGATGAGCTATTGGAATTGTGTGCAATGAAGGTGAAGCTGTCTGGAGCTCCCAGCAACCAAAAGCTGGCCACAAGCCCCAGGACCCAAGGCGCTCTCTGCTCCCCCAAGCTCCCTCCCCACATATCACTCCATTCTATGCCCCACCGCACTTCCCCTTACCACCCTCAGCCCAGACCTCCATAGTCCTCCCATCTGGAGAGCTCATTCCCTCCCTACAGAAATCCCCCAGCCTACCAGGTCAAATCCGAAAATTTGCATCTTTGCAGGGAGGCTCCCATCTTTTTTCCACCCCTCCCCGCCCCCCCAGCACCACCAACGTCTCTGGCACAAGGCACCGCCAGTTCCCCGCTCCCCACTCCCCCCACCCCCAACCAGGCACTCACCTCTCTGCCTTTGGAGACTGTCCGCCTCCAACAAGCCAGGGGTTCAGAGACTCGACCTTAGACCTTACTTCCCCACAATGCCCCGCCCTCCTACGACTACTCAAGTACTCAGCGACTACTCAAGTACTCAGCCTTAAGCTGGACAAATCAAATAGCCCACCTACCACAGTCCTCATCCAGACCAGACCCAGGAGTTCAGGTTGATTTGAACTTAAAGGGGAAGTTCAACATAAAGTAAATTTCAAGTGGCGAGAGCTTCGGCTTGGACCAGGGTTCGAAAGTTACTTCCACCACTTGCTAACCAAGTGGCAAAGTCATTTGAACCTCAGTTTTCCCATTCATAATAAGGAACCATATGCCCCATATGTAGCCCAAGGACTGTGCTAAGGACTTTGCGTGCATTTTCTCATTTCATCCCCCCATGAGAGCCAGTACTTCCATCATCGTGGCCCTTTTACAGAAGAGGAAGCCAAGGCTCAGGGAAGTTAAGCCCCAAATCCCCTGGCCAAAGGATAATGGAGCCATGCCTCAAACCCTGCAGGATTCTGAAACCCACATCCCCAGCACGAGATCCCCAGAAACCTGTCAGTGTGGAGGAGGCAGGACAAGGACCCCGCCCCGCCGCGCTCCCTCCGGGTTTCCAGCCAGCGCTACCTTCCTTGGGCGCGTTGGCATCCCAGACGCTCCACATCTGCACGAAGAAGAATGGCGTCCAGCACACGATGAAGGCCAGCACGATAATGAAGGTCATCTTAACTGTGCGGATCTTGGCCTTGGAGATGAGCTTGACGCTGCTGACGCGTGCCAGAGCCGCGCGCCCCGCGCTGCCCGCCGCCCCGCCCTCCGGCCCCTCTGCAGCCTCCGCTGCCGCCGCTGCCGCTGTCTTGAGTCTCAAGTTCTGCCAGATCTTGAAGCTGATGAGGCCGTAGCAGGCGGCGAGCACGATGACAGGCACGATGTAGACGGCGAGTGTGATCCACGTGATGTAGGCCTTGGGCCCCCAGGGCTGGATGAAGACGGCCCAGCAGTCGAAGACGCCTTCGGCCACCTCGCGCAGCGAGAAGATGTGCACTTGCGGCGCGCTAGCCACCAGGCAGCCCAGCCACGTGGCGAGCACCGCCAGGCGGTCCGCCCTGCGACGCAGCGCCCGCAGCGGCTGGCAGATGGCCAGGCAGCGGTCCAGAGACATGAGCAGCAGCAGGTAGGTGGAGGCGAACATGCCCACCACCTGCAGGTACTTGACCAGGCGGCACAGCAGGTCGGGCCCGTAGAAGCGGAAGGTGATGTCCCACAGCAGTTGTGGAAGCACCTGGAACACGGCCACCACCAGGTCGGCTATGCTCAGGTGCTTCATGAAGAAGAAGAGGCGCGAGTGTTTGTGGCGCGTGGTGCGCAGCGCCAGTAGCACGCAAGCGTTGCCGCTCAGCGCCAGGAAGAGGATGAGGCACAGCACGGCCACCTCCACGCGCGCCAGGGCCTCATTGCGCTGCGGGGGCCCGGCGGTGCGGTTGCCCTCGGCTTCCGGAGGCGCCTCGCTGCCGTTGACCGCCTCGGCGCTCCAGTTGGCCACCAGCGCGCCCTCCATGGCCGTGGTCGCCCTGCGCCCTGGTCTTCAAGCCCTTTAAGGAGTAGTGCGGCGGGGTGGGGCCGGACGCGTAATCCCGCGCGCCTGGGGGTGGAGGGGGTGAGAGGCGCTCCTCGGGTTTCACTCGCTGAGACGCCAAGGACTGATTTGCTGGTCGGAGCCTGAAACGAATCCAGAGGACTCTGTGAAGACCAAGCACTACTCTCCCGAAGCACATCCGACTCAGTTGTACCCTTCCCAGGAGCCCCAAATTCTTTGGGACTAGGGGTACAACCGCCAGCCCCGGGGATGGTTCAGCTGCCACCCCGGAAAACCCCGTTTGAGGTACCTCCTCTGAGCCACTGGAAATGAGCGGGAATCTGCCAGACTGCCGGTTCCTTAAGATTTTAAGTCACTTACACTGAGGGAGAGGGAAAGGTCCTAATCACTTTCCTGCGGGACTGCGCCTCCTAAACAGACCACCTCTCCCAGAGATCCCCAAACTAGCCGCCCGCCCCACCTTCCAGACCCTCAGCACATCGATCTTCCGCCAGATGCCCAAAACAGCCATCTCTCCTTCCTCCAGTTACTTCCTTCGGAGATTCCCCCAAAGGGCCATTTGGCTTGGGAAGCTCCAGCTCAGAACCATCCCCCTTCAACCTTCTATTTCTAAGACGTCTAGCCATCCCCTCTCACCCCCGAACTTCCACAACTGCTTCGGTGGGTCCCCAATCCAGAGGCCCCTCCTGGAAGAACTCCTGTCTGAATACCTACCCCCAGGGCTCCCAAATGCTGTTCCGGGTACCCCTCTCATAAGGATCCTCCCCAGCCCAGCAGTCCCGGGAAGCCAACTCTGTCTTAGCCCTGGACAGTTTAGGGCTATGCATCTTGAGCCTGAGCGGTCTCTTTGCCGTCTCTCAGAGCACGGGGCGCGTCTCCAGGTACCAGGGGCGCGAGGCACCCCACCACCTCCACTCGGGTTCCAATGGCTCCTCCAGCCCCAACCAACCCGTCTACCCGTGCGCAAGACCCAGCTACCTGCACCCAGTCCTCGAGCTGGCCTAAAGTTGGCTCTCTGGGGAAACTGCACCGCCGCGGATAGCTCCGAAGACGCGTGCGCTTCCAGGCCAGGTTGGGATGGCTGCTGGCGGCACCCAGTCTGATACTATCGTGAGGTCCCGGACTCTGAAGCCTCAGCTGGAATCCCCTCGCCCGCACCTAACTGGTCACTGGATAGGGACAGAAGGCGAGCTCGGAGCGCTGCCGAGGCTGTGCGCGCTGACAGCGTCAGGATGCGGCGCTGTCTGCTGGTGGCCCGCTTTTCTGCAGCCTGGGGCTGGGGCTGCACCACCACAAGAGTCCGCTGGGAGGCGCGGAGCGCAGGCCCCGCGGACCCCGCAGAGCAGGCTTAACTCGCCCAGCCTTCGCCCCAGAACCGTAATAAACAGGGTTCTTTTCACAGTGGTTTAAAACTGCAAGAGGGAGGGAGCTCATAAATAACCCGCTTGGTTTCTTCCTTTCTTGGTTTGAAAGCTCCTGACTCTCAGGCAAACGGGAAGCTTGGACAGCGGTGTTTTCCCCTGAGTAGATGGTGATGAAGTTGCAAAAGCATTTAACTGACGTTTCCCAAACATCAGGTTAATTTCAACGCTTATTTTTCCCCCTCCCCTGAGCTTGATATACTGGATTTAGCAGTGAATTCAAGTAAGTCCTTTTATTCCTATACCCATTCCTAAGGAATGAGAAATGCCTTCTGTTCTAATCAGCACTGGCAGAGGACTTCATTCTTCAGGTAGTTTTAGGGGAAAGATCTCCAGAAAAGAAAAGGAAAAAAATCTACCTTCCTCTTAAATTGATTCTGTTCCTTTGTGGCCCGAAGCCATTTCTGCCTCTTTGTCATACTTCAAAATTAAAATCCTACATGATGCCAAAGGAAGAAGAAATGTTAAAGACATCTTCTGATACCTAACTCCTTTTCTATTCTAAAATCAGGTGTTTGTTTGTTTGTTTTTAAGTAATTTGCAGAGACCAAGAATTAAGGCAGAAAAGGTGAGGATTCAAAATGAACAAGGCTCTTTAAAATTTAAATGCATACTTCCTCCTGACATTTCCCTTCACCCTCTTTTAATTATGTGGAGAGAATTGAGTTAGTCACGGACTGGGTTTCCTGAATCCACAATTATAGCCCTGTGCCAGGACATCCTAGGGACAGACCATTACTCCATCCTGGTCCCAAGGTTCTAGTTGAGTGAGCATTCCTGGATGGGCCTGGGAATTCCAGCAGCCCTGGGAAGAGGTGAAAGTTGTCTTTTTCTTGCCCCATAATACCATTTAAAAAACAAAATTCAAATGAATAAAATTTAAAGATCTTACTGGCTTTTTTCAGCAATGCATGAATCAGACAGTATCCCATCTACTAGATAAAAAGAAGCTCTGAGGAGCTTTACAAAATGAAAGATTTTTATAGGCAGAAGGGAGCCCAGAACATGGGAGTTACACTTGACAACAAAGTGACTGGTTATTGCCCGGTTACTTTCACTATAGGGAAGGCAGGGGTCTGTCAGACAGATACTCACTAGTGCTGATCAGGTGGTTCAAGATTGACTGTTTTGAAATTCCATCCATCCCTGGGTGAGCTGAAACTGAATCTTAGTTTGGTAATGTGGGGCTAAGCATAAGCAACTCCATTTTGGGTCTGTTGCCTTGTTTTTAACACATTAATTAATAGTCTCCGTCACACAAATTACAGATCAAATTACAAACTACTCAGGTGAGAATTAAGTAGTCTTCACTTTCTCCCCTGGCCTCAGTTTCCTCATGTATAAAATGAGAGGGCTGATCAAGATCATCTCCTCTCTGAGATTCCATCCTTCTGGTTTTCTGGAATTTGATGATATATGCCATCTGAGAACCTAATTCTAGGAGGTAAAACACACCTGCCCCACTCCATGGTGGGATCAGGGAAGGGTTTTCCCTAAGTACCCCCAGTGGGGTACATTATATTTACCCATCACCTTACTTATTCCATACTTATCAATAAAATGTGTTGAAAAAAAATGATTAATGGATTCCCCAAGAACATCCCCCAGTATATTAATCACTAGGGTCAGACCCTGGCTTCCCAGAATAAATATTTCTGTGGCAATCTGGCTATAGGAGGGCTGTGTGTAAGAAAGTATGGCATTTGTACACGTGGGTCATTCTTCCCAAGAGAAAGCAATGACAGAGATAAAGCATGACAATGAATGTGACAACATAACCCCTATTAAGGAAGTGGCATAAATACATGTACTCTCCATCTGTAGACACTGTTGGCTTAGGTGAAGACACAACAAGACATAACTGAGACAAAAAAGCATTCTTTGGGAATAACTGAGCTTGGAATAAAAGCAGGCTGTTCTTTTGCAGAAGAAAAGGTTTATTGAGAATCAGGATCTTTGAAATCTGTGGCTTCTTTCAGAGAAATAGGGCCCCCGAGGAGCTGAGAGTCATTTCAAGGTGGTTGTTATCCTCCATACAAGCAGAGCAATTGGGATTCTCATGTTGTCTATCTTACAGATGGGGTTTAGAGGTTCAGAGAGGGTGAGGGGTTTGCCCAAGGCACACAGCTGGTCAAGGGCGAGTGTGGCTGGCATGAAGCATGAGGCAAGCCTAGAGAGGTTCACCAGAACTGGACCACCCAGGCTGGCAGCCTTGGAAAGGGGCTTCCTGCTCTCTTCCTCAGTGCTGGAAACTGGGGGGCAGGAGAGGAGATTACCTGAAGGAGAGATGTGATAGGCAACAGCAGGAGGAGAGATTGGAAGGGGGCAAGTGGCAGGAGGCAGATGGGATAAGAGCCGCCTTGAGAACAGGTCTGGCCTGAACAGGGAGGTGGCCAGGTTGATATGGCAAGGACAGGTGACTTGCCCAAGGTCCCACTGCCATCAGAAATGAAGCCAGACCCAAACTCCTGCCTCTGCATAGACCCAGCCACTTCCAGTGTCCTGAAAGGCCTGAGCAGCACTGAAAAGGGATTGGAGATAAAAGCCAGGAGGACCTTTTGGTGAAGGCGAGGGCAAGGGGGCAAGGTCTGAGAAAAGCAGATAAGGGAGAGGACTTGAGATAGTCCCCAGGGACCATTTAAGAGGTCTGTGTAGATTCACACAGGACACCAAAGGAAACTAAGCTCTCTTCTCCCGTCTGCCACCCCTACCTTGTGTCTATCAGTCCATCTCTGTGAGCACAGAGGAACCTAAGGCAAATTCCAGTGACCTGAGAGCTCAAACACAAACACTGCCCCAAGCCCCAGATAACCCCATCTCTCCTCCTCCACCAATTCCAACAGCCTACTCACCTTCTTTTTTATTAAAAACAACAACAAAAAGGCATTTCTTCCCAGAGGGGCACCCAACAAAACATCCTTTACTCTCGGAATGTTGAGCACATTTTGGCAAATGAAAATGTACTATTTCCTGTGCTCTGTTATGCAGATTCATTAAGTAAATATTTTCTTAGCACCTACTGTATGCCCAGTGAGGTGACCCTGAATTGAACCCAGGAATTAAACTGGACCAACAGCAGTGTTCCTGAGGATAGGTGAGAAGATCAGGTCAGGACAAGTGGAAGGACTGGAATCCCTGCCTGAATTCAGGGTTCCGATTGCACCAGAAATGCGCTGCTCTCTATGACCAGGGGCAAACCCCCACCCCTCCCTGGCCTCCATTTCCTCTCCTTAAAATGAGGGTATGGACAATCTCTAAGGTCCCCTCCAGCTCAGTATATCATTTTCTAAGTCTAGGCAGCCAGACACACGGAGTGAAGCAGCGGGCGCAGAACGGCTGCACAGGGGAAGCCTCCTCAGGGGCAGGGATGGCTCGGGCACGTAGTAGGTCCTCAGGAAACACGGGTCAGAAGAGTGTGGACTGTCTGGGAAAGGATAATGCTCTGCCAGGAGAGGAAGTCTTCAACAACTGAAAGTAGCATTTTCCCCCTCTCTAACTGGTGAGAAGGAGCAAGAAAAATACCCTGGGGCAGAGGGTGGTGGAGGAAAGGGTCCTGGGGCTCTCAAACAATGCTAATGGGAATGCATTTTGGAACAGCCTCCTTAGAAGGAAATAAGACAATATGTATCAAAAGTCTGGAAAACCTGGATACTTTTCGCCACAGCAAATGTATCCTTTTGGTGACAGAACTTAAAGGACACAATCCAGCAAGAAGGCAAAGAGATTATACAGATGTTAATCAAGCATTGAGAACAGTGAAAAAAAAAACGAATGGAAAGAGCCTTATGATGTACCTCCAGCGAAAGAGGATACAGAGGTTAAAAAATGACAGAGCACAGGTGCCTCGGTGGCTCAGTTGGCTGAGTGACTGCCTTCCGCCCAGGATCGTGGGAGCGAGCTCGGGATCGAGGTCCCTCCTTAGCAGAGAGCCTGTTTCTCCCTCTCCCTCTGCCTGCGGCTCTGCCTGCTTGTGTTCGCTCTCTATCTCTCTATCAAATAAATTAAAAAAAATATTTTTTTTAAAATGACAGGTTGGATCTTTGTTAATTGACCTGTAATGGGTTTGTGTGTGTTGTGTATGTGGCTGAGAGAGAGAGAGGAAGAAGATGAAAAAGGATGGGGAGGAGGAGGGAGAGGGAGAGGGGAGAAAGGAGGGTGAGAGTATCTATAAAAGATGTTACAAACAAATTAACAGCAGTTATCTGTGGTTGGTAGGGTCATGGATGGCCGCAATATTTTGACGGTCTGTACCCTGTGATATTCATAGTACATATGGATCATTTCTGCAATGTGAAAAGAGAGAATTCTGTTTCCCAAAAGCCATGTCACAGACTGACAGGAGTGACTCTGGACACCACCCTCTGCCTTGCCTCTGCTGGATTCTCCCTCACCTACTGGAGAAGTCGAAGCATTCCTGCAAGTGTTTTCAAGCATCCTAGGCTTTGAGTGGGGCTTGCAGCTGGTGGGGGTCCTGATCCCGCAGAGGGAACCCCACTGGAAAGGAACAGCTACTTTCTTCCATCCCCTCCCCCAGCTCTTCCCGAAGCTGTCAAGCACACGGCACTTTCTCTACGATGCTGACACACTCCATCCTAAAGGGCCAAGTTCCGGCAACATGTCCTCACAAGACAGATGTACCAGACCAGACCAGGACAGCCAAGGTCTTGCAGCCTGTATTCTTAGAGGCAGCCCATGTGCAGGAGCTTTTCCGTAAGAGCCACGCCCTGGAGCTGAGCCAGGACACCCGAGCTGAGGGCCGAAAGCCCAAGATTCTGGAGTGCTAGGACTAAGAAGAA